TGACATGCATAATAGGTGGGAGTAGCGCGGTAGGCGAGCGCGCGGCGGCGCGATCATTTGTCTCTTTCATTTTTTGAGTACCTACCAAAACAAAATACGCGCGGCTGCCGAGTGCGCTACGCTCGAAAAAGACCTACCTACTGTAAATTATAGCAATAATATGCATCATCACTAGATATTAGTAAAAATATGCTATTAGCCTTGAAAATCGCTAAAATATGCAAATGCATATGCAAATATGCAAATGCATATTATCCGGTCTCTATTTATAACAAACGACATCGTGGACGTTGTTATTATTTATACGAGTGGTATTGAGTAATGTAAATAACGCAACAATGTTTTTATACACAATAGATTAGCAATCACATTCATATCTTCAGGAAATAGGAAACAAAAGAAAGCGTAAAGTAAGGAAATACTTGACTGATCCATATCTATATATACGTAATTATATTTACTTATATATCATATATCTGTATAAATAAAAATTAATCCCTCTTTTCCCTTGGTCACGGCGCACATCGCGCGTGACTGGTTGGACGGATTTCACTAATTCTTTTTTTGCTGTATTTGTTATTATTAGGAGAAGGTTTTTAAGACAGAAATAATGCTGAAATTCCTACGGGAACGAGAAGAAAACGGGATTGCGCGTATGAAGTCGCGGGCAGAAGCTAGTACTTAATATATAAAGCTGAAGAATTTGTTTGTTTGTTTGATCGCGCCAATCTCAGGCGCCACTGGATAGTAGATGGATAGACAAATTAACGCTTATGAACGACAGCACTCTATATGCAATATCAAAGTTAAAATATCTACCGTAGGTACCGAAAATCTCAATAGTTAGTAGGTTTTACTTAATACATTTATCTAGGAAGCCTATAGGCTATAAATCATCACGCTGTGATCAATAGGCGCAAAACAGACTGGATGGAACCACGCAAAAATAGCTAGTAATATATTATAATACATTCGAAGACTTTGTTTGTTTGTTTGAACGCCATAATCTAAGGAACTACTGTTCCGATCTGAATAATTCATTTTTGTGTTGGATATTTTATTTTTCAAGGAAGATTACTTATAAGTTGTAAAAAATAACATATGAATACGATCAATAAAAAAAAAGCCGAACATCGAGTAAAACCGTGCGTGTGTAATGTTTCAGATTAAATCTGATCTTATCATGAGTTTAGGATTATCTACAAGAACATTTAATTGTCATATATTGTTCTCATTATCGGACACTTATTGTTGCTTGTTGTACAACTAATTTATCAATTTGTTTTACAATAAAAAGTTGAGTAGGCCAAACAGGCTTTTAGTTGGACCATAAGTTTTGTGGCTATAAGTTGTGTTTCGAATTAAGTTTAGTGGTAAGTTATAAGTTTTATAAGTGTCACATGTGTCATGTCATATAGACGTAAGGTCAGAAACTACGTAAGTATTTTTATGTATTATGTTACTAGCGGACCCCACAAACATTGTTTTGTTTTCGATTTTTTTTGCGTATAATTTTACAATTCTAACAAAAAAAAAAACTAAAGAATTAGCTAAATCGGTTCAACTATTCTCGAGATTTTTGTGTCTTGCAACACATTAGAACATATTTCTATGAAAATCACAGTTTTCCATTTTAAATGATACCTAGGCAGTTTTTCGTTTACAGTACGTAGAAACTATCGTTGTAGGTATAGTACCTGCTTATTTAAATATATATATATATATATTATCGTTCGATTGTCTATATGTCATAAAAGAGGCGATTTTTTAAAGAAGATCGGAAGTTAAATAATTATATAAAGCCCAACTTAATTTAACTATTAATTTTATTATAATAAATTAATAATACATATTACTTTACTGGCACAGTAATATTGTTTAGGACATTGTGACATTACCGTTTTTACTTAAAACAGTTTAGTTTATAAGAGTTACTATTTTAAAAGAAAGCAAAAGAGGTATATGAGAGTCGTAACGATTGGCGTTCATAGTTTATGCCTACCCCTATGGGAGATAGAAGTAAGATTATGTATGTATGTATGTAGTTACAGTCTTGTAACAGTTGTAACATTAACTCGTCGAGTACCGGTTTTGCAGACACAATTATAGAACAATAGGTTGCGGTCACCGGTGACCGCTTGGTATTTGACAGTTTAAGTAACATAACATAACATAACATCACGCCTTTTATCCCGGAAGGGGTAGGCAGAGGTGCACACAGAAGTAACACCCACTTTTCACTATTTATGTTATGAGTCCCATGTAATAGGGGGTGAGCCTATTGCCATATACCGGGCACAATTCCAGACTTCGTGCTACTACTGAAAATAGATAAACCCAGTAATACTTTGCCCGACCTGGGAATCGAACCCCCCCCGGCAATCGCACTCGCGACCACTCGGCCAACGAGGCAGTCATTAGTCAGTGTAACATTAAGTATTAGGGTAAATCGGAATTCAAAAGTGTAGGTAGTTATAAGTAGCCTAAAGAATGTTTTTAATAATTAAAAATAATATCCTTACATACGTATTATTATATTATTTTCTGGTGGTATATGTGTATATGGCGGTACATAGGACTAAATTGACTGGCAAAAAATGGAAAAACAGTGCTATGTGTGTGTGCCTACGCCTGTCTACCTGCTACGAAAAAAACCTTTAAATAGTGAAAACAATTTTTATTAGATTGATAATAAAAATTGTTTTCTCTTCTTAAATGAAAATTCAGTCCAATTTCCCACAATACGGAACAAAATACGTCGACCAATATTTGCATACAGCTTATGTGTTTCTATTTATAGAGGTATTATAGGTGTATTTTGTTTGTATACATATTTAACTAGCTTCTACCCGCGACTTCGTACGCATAATCTCATTTTTTCCCGTCCCCGTTCGTGATTTTCGGTAAAAAGTAAAAAAAAAAATTTGGTTAAAAAGTATCCTATGTCCGTCTCCTAGCTCTAAGCTACCTCCGTACCAATTTTCAGCCAAATCTGTTCTGCCAATCTTGAGTTATAAGTGGTGTAACTAACACGACTTTCTTTTATATATATAGATAATTATATATATTTTGTAGATATATAGATCTATTTATATTACATTTGTATAAGAACGTTTGTCATTGACGTTTGTTTACAATTGTTGTTACACTAGTACACTACACATCTCTGCGTCACCCTGTGGTTGACTGTTAGAAAATATCATCTGGCATTATGTCCACTCGCGTTTACAAAGATTATAAAAAAGCGATTATACTTAACAAAAAAAAATATGTGCCAGGCTTTAGAACATTACAACTCGCAAATGTTTTTCAATCGATTTTTACTTTGTGACATAAAATGACTGTTTTACCTTTCCCTGTAATAAACATAACA